CTTGCATGATTTTCTAGCCTATCTTGCTTCCATTTTTGGGCGATTTACAGAACTGAAAATAGTCTTATTTTGGCCCATTCTTCATGTTTCATTAAGGGTCTTTGGCTGTTTGATGAATGTTTTGCATACTTTGTGTTTTAACCCCTTTTGGACCTCATTTTGCATAGCATTTTTGACATACTTGTATACTGTTTTGGGGTTTTTACAGTTCTGTAAATATGCATATTTTTTGTCCCTCTTCAGTGTTGTAGAAGGGTATTTTTCTGTTTGGGCTTTGCATCTACCACTTCCTTCTTTGGCCATCTTTTGGCCCCTTTTCTTGCATAAGAGTGCAGCCATACCTGTGTTGGTTTTTGGGGTTTTTACAGTTCTAGAAAAGATCATATTTTGGGCCCCTCTTCAACTTTGTTGAAGGGCGCTAACCTGTTTGGGGACAGCAGATGTGAGTTGCTTCTTTATCTCCCTTTTAATCCCCATTTTTGCATGCTAGTTTTGCCCTGTTTCTGTTTGATGTTTGGCCATGCTTTGAACTGTGAAAGTGCTTATCTTGGGGCTTCCTTGCTTCTGTCTTTTCATTGCATGTCCATACTGTGCATGTTTGGTATAGCTATAGGCCATTTCGGGTGCCAAAGTTCATGTTTCGGGACTTTTCCATACATTTCGGGTGCCAAAGTTCCTTTCGCCTCTTTTCAGGGCTGTTTTTCCCCACATTTCAGTGCTGAAATTTCATTAACATGTTTGCATATCATTTCCCATGCCATTGCATTGCGTATGCCATTGCCTCGGTTTGCGTGCCCGTGTGCACGCATTTCGAGGCACTTCATTTTCATCTCTCGGTCTCTTATGTGAGTGTGGCTGAGGCTCTCTCATGTTAGTATAAGTTCATGTTGCATTCTATATGCCATTTCCATGCCATTCCATTGCATATGCCATTGCCTCGGTTTGCGTGCCCGTGTGCACGCATTTCGAGGCACTTCATTTTCATCTATTGGCCTCTTATGTGAGTGTTTCAACATGGTGATCAACCAAAAATCAAAAGAGGACATATGGATAATGCCCTATGTAGTGGATGACAAAACAACGCCCATAGACAAGGTGAAGTTAGCTCAAGGTAAATAGTTTTTCCAAATTGAAGTATTAAAAATGGGGCACTTTTTAATAAATTTATTTTTACCTACTTATATTTTATTTAATTTACATTAGTTTCTTATGTTTCAAGTAGTCTTATTGCTGACATTGTTACCAAAATACCTTTAATAATATTCACATTTATAGTGTGAATGTTCCGTGATGTGGATGTTCACATCATCGATGTAAATGTTCACACCATCAATGTGAATGTTAACATGTCAATGTGAGTGTTCACATTGTCAATATGAACATTTACACGTCAATGTGAATATTCACATTCCAAAAATATGAATGTTCACATCACCAAGTTGCTAACCGTTTAAAAAATATTTATAAGGGTAGAAATGTTCATAAAATGTCTTAAATATGAGAATTAGGATTTTGTAGATCAAATATGCAAATAATAGGACTTATTGGAATACAAGAATATCTTATGGACTAATTGAGATAGAAACACTTGAAAAAGAATTTTCTAATAAATCTCATTAAAAAATCTATAGGTAAATAAATAAATAAAAATTTGGGACAATTGGTGCACAATGGTGGCAGGAAAAGTTAATTACTCATTAAAAAAATATTATAATTTTAATAATTAATATTTATAATATTTATCATTATTTTGCAATGTTTTTTTTTTTTTTTCTAACACACACTGTGATATAGTTTTTCCGAAAAAATTTCACATCATCAAATATGTATCTTTGACTTTAGTCAAATAAGAAACAGAGTAGAGCAATCTCTCATGGGATACAAAAAGATCTCATCATTAGATTTTCATTATATAGATGATCTCTAATCCTCACTCAGATATTTTATTAAATTTGAATTTGATAAAAAATACTTACTTTTTAGGTTTCAACTACGTCATCAATCTCATATAAAATTAAGGTAAAATAAAAATTTTTAACAAATTAAGAGAGAATTTAATCTTTCATCAAATTTCATAAGTGACCATTGGTGGACGATCGGGTGGACGATCGGCCAGGCGACCGGGTGGATGATTGAATTGGAAAAGATTTCATGAAAATTTACTGTAGGCTAAATGACAAGCCAAATTTAATGAAACGATTGGAACGTATCATATCAGATCAAACTTTTACTCGAATTTGATGAAACGTTAGAGATGCTCTTAATTAAGACAATTTAATAAAAATATTTTAATTGTGAAGGTTAGAATGTTGTTATGAATTTTAATAATATTATAGTATAAAAAATAAAATTACAATATAAAAAATTATAAAGAACTCTAATTAAAAATTTTACTTCAGACTTCAAATAGGCTTTGAGATGCCCTTGGTCTAAAGGCCACCATGTGTTTTGTTATGATGATTTGATTCATTATTCATGTGTATATATTATTTGTAAAATAAAAATTAATTAATTAATTAATAAAAATAATAAATCTGATAATTATAAAAATACATATTTATCATATTTGTCTTGAAAAAATATATAGTAATTATGATTTCGAAAATAAACCATTCACCATTTTTTTTGTTTTAAAGATAAATATAATCCAATTTCATTTTGTTTAATACATATAGATAGACTTTTAAAATGAACATATTAGATCATCGAAAGCCCATGGTCAGTTTACATGCATGGACTACATGAGTGTGGACTGCAAATATGCCATTTTCGCATATTAGTTATATTTTAGAGCTTTGGACGCCAACATATTACAACACTAACCATAGGTACAAGTCAATTAATTGATCAACACGCCTTAATTAGACTGTGTTTTGATGACGTGAACTATTGTGAACAATTGAAAATAGGATCATGTCTGATTTGAGGATAGGATGAGATGGATAAGATATTCTGATGAAGGTATTTTAATCATTATAGAATAGACTATATAAATTATATTTTTTATCCTCAAAAATAATATAATAAATAGGCCACACTAGTCTAAAAAATACAGGTGGATATTGAGAGATTCAAACCGTAATATAAAAATGAAATAATAAATGAGTTGGACAGTCATGAAATAATATTATTCTCATTGTGATTTTTTTTAAAGCAAGTCTTGAATATAAAAAAAAAAAACTTGTATCATATACAAAAATAACATATAAAAATGACTTACATTCAAAAAGATTATCATAAAATTGAAATTATTTTATTACTATCCCAATGATATTTCCACTAATATGGTAGTTAAAATGGCATGACACAAATGGCAGTGCCCATGTTAATTGATTGGCATTGTGAATGTGATAGCTAGGTTTGTAACCCTATTTCTACGGGGGATGATGGGTGAGCACTAATGGATTTTTATTAGCTTTTGTGCTTGTACTCATGAGCTATATATATATAGCTTGTTTGGGAAGGAGGGTTGGGTTGGATTTGAGACTATTTTAGTCACAAAAAGACAAAATAAACTTTTTAACTTAATAAGACAAAACATAACATCCAACCCATAATCATTATATTCTTTTTCTCACAAAAAGTCAAAAAAATCAAAAAATTCTTTCTAAATAAGGTTTTTTAGCCTTAGGTTAAAATAGACAAAAAGTCATAAAATCAACCCACTTCCCAAAAGAAGCCTTAGCAGGCATTACCCGTACCATTATGGTTTTACTTTAGACCTGTTGAATTCATTTGTTAATCATTTTAGTTTATTATGGCCTCTGTTAGAACATGGGGGTCAAAAGTGCAGTGAAGCAGTAGTCACTTGAAAGGTAATAAGTAGAGTTTCAAAAAACTTGGACAACTCACTTGCTTCTACTATGGCTGGAAAAGTATGTACATTGCCAACTTGTATTATAATTAACTAATCAACCACACACACAAATTAAAAAAACAAACAACTAATGAGTTCAAATAAACAGAGAAAGGAAACCAATCCCCGTGCCTAAAGCAGCTTCCCACCGCTAGGCTACCCTTTTGTCTCAGTCGATGCCATACCAATAGGTGCAACTTGTCTCATGGCTCAACATCTAGTCTAGTTAGTCATGAGAGAGATGAAAGTCCCTACCAAGAAATCATCACTTCCAATAAATCATCAACAGAATTGGTTTAACTAAAGCAGAAATACAACCAAAAACCGATTAATTTAAAATATCAATTAGATTTGTTGGAGAAATATTAAATAATTACCATACAAACATGCAATGAAAATTAAGGAAAAGAAATAGAAAAAGAAAGAAGAAAGTAAGGACCGACAAAGGGGGACAACTCATATGAGGTGGTCAAAAGCTCCCTCCTCCATGGGCTTGGCTTTGCAAGTTAGTTACCTCACCCGAGAGGCATCACAACCAAGTTTGCCGCCCACCCCCATATGTATCCTTCATTTGCAATCAAAACTGCCTATTCATCCAAAAATTTTGTGAAAGTTACAATTTTTCATTTACCTCAAGCACCACATAGATGACATCACATGATACTCCAAAACTACCTAATAATTTTCCTCATGCATGATTTTTCAAGGGTCCTTGTGAAGCATGGCAGATTCAAATCATTTAGACAATCCTTCTTGATGATGTGTCTAGACTTATTTATATATATGCATAGTTGGTAGTGTATGAATATATTTAAAATTTATTCTATAGAGTAGTCCCGTAACCGTGTCTCAAAAAATTCCTTATTTGCAAAACTAAAAAAATAGTATGAGCAACTTAAAACTTTGCTCATTCCAGCTCATTATAGCCCTATCAATTGGTCAAATTAAAACATTGACTCAATCCAACAATTGAAATTTTTTTACATGAATAAAAAATTATTCTTTCACCAATAAAAAAAATTACTACCTGACCGAGACATTTGATCAATACATATGACATGGTATTAATGAAGTGAAGGAAATCGACTTGAATTTGACTGTCAACAGTCTTTTAATTCACATCCATAGTGCCAGCAAAAATACGTGTATGCAATTTAGTTTAATTATATATAAATGCTACTTCACCAATTAGAATTTAGAACCCTACTTAAAAGGTTAATGAGTGCATATAAATAGTCATTAATTAAACTTAAGGAGACCTAAGCTATTAAAACATTAAATTTAAAAATAAAATAAAATAAAGTAAAATTGGGTACTTCCCTTTCCACACTAATTAATCAGTTTCTACTACCAAATGTACCATTAGAATCCATAACTTAAACCTGAATTGAATTCACTTCTCGTTCTTCATTTGAAACTCATTGGCTTTATAGTACTCCTCCATCTGCCATGCATGAACTTGAGAAGGACCACTTGCCATCTTCAGGTACTGCATATATGGTGACATTGTCTGCATACTTGAACCGCCATAGTAAGCCATAGAGGGTGAAGGATGATGATTTTTACCAACCTCGTTCTCCATCATCCTAGACATGGAAAAGGACGACTCAGTGCACGAGACTCCTGTTAAAACAGACTCTGTGGAGGGCAACAACATTATTGGATCATAATATATCGAGTTCTCTAGTGGATCAATGCACTGCAAGTTGCTGCTAGACATACCGCCAAGTTGAGTGTAATGAGTGTCGTTAATGTTGTTCATTGGCATCATCATTGGACCTTGCATGAATAATTTGAATGGTTTTGTTGAGTTGTTTGTTCCATATCATTAAGACTTGCCAATGCTTGAGTTCCCTTCATGAATTCAACCCTGGCTTTCACATCTGCAAGCTTACCCTCCAACATACCTTCAAAGGCTCTCAACTGCCCCTCCGGCAAGTCATTGTAACGATCATCCCACGTAGAATACAAAACCTTGTCATTCTTCTTGCGTAGTTTGACTAGCGCGTCTTCAATCTCTTGGTTTCGGTTCTCAAAAAAGTTCGATAAATCAAGCGTCCTCCTATGACGATCTTCAATAGATTGGTTTCTATAGGTGTCAATCAAGCGTTGAATATCATTGGGATTTTGGGGCCAGATTTCTACCTCTGTGGAATTATCATCTAACTTAGGCCCACAGATGATCAGGCAGACTTGGACATCACATAGAGTTTGTAGTTCACAAGTCTTCTTCTTTAAGCCCTTCTTTCTCTTTTGATAGGTTGCATAGCGAGCCTTTTCGTTTCTTATGAGTTTCATTCTTTGTTTAGCTCGACCCATCTACAAATCTAATAGAAATCATGTATTGATAATCATATCATGAATTCTCATATAAAAAATATTTAAAAAAACAAAAATTTGAACAAACAAATGAGCAAATAAAAGTTGCAATTCATATTTTAAAAGATCTCCAATATAAGGATGAGGAAAAATATGTTTGGTTCAAGCCAATACCACGTAATGCACCTACATCATTCTCATTGGTTAGGCCCCTGTTAGTAGGGTTGTGACCAGGGCCGGCCCTGAGTTTTTCAGGGCCCAAGGCAAACATTAAAATAGGGGTCTTTTATATAAAAATACAAAAAAAAAAAAAGAATTTTAAAAAATAACTGTGGGGCAAAATGAAATTACTTAATTTTATTTAAATTGAATTAGTTTTTCTATTTTTTCCTTTCATATATAGAACAACCATGATTATAAAATTAATCTAAATTGCAGAGAAATTCAACTGAGATAGATTACAACTGAAGAAAATATTTTATTCAAGCAAAACAAAAGCATGACAAAATTTAATCAACAAAAAAATTAGATTAAAAAAATAGGCATTGAAATTAGATTTTTGGCACAAATCAAAATTAAAAGCAATGCAATCAATAATTTTAAAAAAAAATAAAAGAAAAAAAAAAGAGATTAAATTGAAAAGCAAAGTTCTCAAATCAAATAAGAGCAATGAATTTAACAGAGCACCGCATCGATTATCTCGTGGCCTAGAATTTGGATTGGCCACTTGTTTGGTCTCCGCACAGTTTACTTCCAACGCTTACAGATGGGAAGCAGGCCCCCGCCCTGAGATTTCCGGGGTCGAAAGCCGATAATCAACTACTAAATATCCGGGGGCCTTTACATTTTTTTTTCATTGAATGAATTTTTTTTAAAGGTAAAAAAACAAAAGATTTAATTATGTAATGTGAACAAAACACAATACAAAACTTTTAAATTATGTGATATGAACAAATAGTTCTTGATGATGTAAATACTAATATTATAATAGCAATTAATTAAGTAAAAGGCAACACAAATATTTAATTAATTGAAGAGAAAAAAAAAAAAAAATTACCTGTGCTTGCTGCTGCTCCGTCCCTGTGCTCTGCTCTGGTTGTGTGCCTGCTGCTTCGTTGCTTTGTTGGCTTGGATGAAGAGAAGGTAGGGTTAGGAATTAGAAAAAAGGGGCCTTTCAAGTTGCTGTTGGGCCTTAACTGTTGGCCCTTAATTGTTAGAAAAAAGGGGCCTTTCAAGTTGCTGTTGGGCCTTAACTGTTGGGCCCTAACTGTTAGAAAAAAGGGGCCTTATCTGTTGGCCTTTCAAACCACTGCTGTGTTGGGTTCCTGCTGTCAAACTGTTGGGCCATTCAATTTTTTAATAGTTCAATGGCCAGGGCCGGGTTGTCAACAGATAGGGCGGGACCTGGCTATTTAGAGGTCATGAACTGCTGTGTTGGGTTCCTGCTGTCAAACTGTTGGGCCATTCAATTTTTTAATAGTTCAATGGCCAGGGCCGGGTTGTCAACAAATGGGACAGGACGTGGCTATTTAGGGGTCATGAAGTATAGTGATATCCTGTAACAAAAAAAAAAAGTATAGTGATATTGTGGATTTGACAAGAACTGGACTATCTCTGCAGCAGATACGTTGCATAACATTGCTTAATTTTAACTATATTAACCATATTTTAAGGTTGGTAACTAGAGGACTAACCATAGGCATAAGTAACGTTAACTAATTGATAAGTTAGAAGCCCCAGATCATTTTCTATTCGATTGTGTTTTGTTTATGTGAAATACTGTGAACATCTTGAAAAAAGAAGTGTGATAAACCATTTAATATTGGATAAGGGAGGGTAAGTTATCCCGACGAAGATGTTTTAGTTATTCGCAAAATATGAATCAAGTGAGTTAAAATCCGTTATTCTCAAATCAAATATGACCTAAAAAAATCAAAGTACTGTAACTGATCCAAAAAAAATATATCTTAGAATGATATCATCTAATGCTATTGTCTAAAATATTTTAAGAAATTCACTAAGAGAGTCTGTTTAGGCTCGCTCAAGCGCGCACACAATGCCAAGCTTCAGGTCTGACACCAACGCAGAAGCACGCTCGAGCGCAAGAAGGCTCGCTCGAGCGAAGAAACAACTTCACAAGGCTCGCTCAAGCGCGCACACAATGCCAAGCTTCAGGTCTGACACCAACGCAGAAGCACGCTCGAGCGCAAGAAGGCTCGCTCGAGCGAAGAAACAACTTCACAAGGCTCGCTCAAGCGCGCACACAATGCCAAGCTTCAGGTCTGACACCAACGCAGAAGCACGCTCGAGCGCAAGAAGGCTCGCTCGAGCGAAGAAACAACTTCACAAGGCTCGCTCAAGCGCGCACACAATGCCAAGCTTCAGGTCTGACACCAACGCAGAAGCACGCTCGAGCGCAAGAAGGCTCGCTCGAGCGAAGAAACAACTTCACAAGGCTCGCTCAAGCGCGCACACAATGCCAAGCTTCAGGTCTGACACCAACGCAGAAGCACGCTCGAGCGCAAGAAGGCTCGCTCGAGCGAAGAAACAACTTCACAAGGCTCGCTCAAGCGCGCACACAATGCCAAGCTTCAGGTCTGACACCAACGCAGAAGCACGCTCGAGCGCAAGAAGGCTCGCTCGAGCGAAGAAACAACTTCACAAGGCTCGCTCAAGCGCGCACACAATGCCAAGCTTCAGGTCTGACACCAACGCAGAAGCACGCTCGAGCGCAAGAAGGCTCGCTCGAGCGAAGAAACAACTTCACAAGGCTCGCTCAAGCGCGCACACAATGCCAAGCTTCAGGTCTGACACCAACGCAGAAGCACGCTCGAGCGCAAGAAGGCTCGCTCGAGCGAAGAAACAACTTCACAAGGCTCGCTCAAGCGCGCACACAATGCCAAGCTTCAGGTCTGACACCAACGCAGAAGCACGCTCGAGCGCAAGAAGGCTCGCTCGAGCGAAGAAACAACTTCACAAGGCTCGCTCAAGCGCGCACACAATGCCAAGCTTCAGGTCTGACACCAACGCAGAAGCACGCTCGAGCGCAAGAAGGCTCGCTCGAGCGAAGAAACAACTTCACAAGGCTCGCTCAAGCGCGCACACAATGCCAAGCTTCAGGTCTGACACCAACGCAGAAGCACGCTCGAGCGCAAGAAGGCTCGCTCGAGCGAAGAAACAACTTCACAAGGCTCGCTCAAGCGCGCACACAATGCCAAGCTTCAGGTCTGACACCAACGCAGAAGCACGCTCGAGCGCAAGAAGGCTCGCTCGAGCGAAGAAACAACTTCACAAGGCTCGCTCAAGCGCGCACACAATGCCAAGCTTCAGGTCTGACACCAACGCAGAAGCACGCTCGAGCGCAAGAAGGCTCGCTCGAGCGAAGAAACAACTTCACAAGGCTCGCTCAAGCGCGCACACAATGCCAAGCTTCAGGTCTGACACCAACGCAGAAGCACGCTCGAGCGCAAGAAGGCTCGCTCGAGCGAAGAAACAACTTCACAAGGCTCGCTCAAGCGCGCACACAATGCCAAGCTTCAGGTCTGACACCAACGCAGAAGCACGCTCGAGCGCAAGAAGGCTCGCTCGAGCGAAGAAACAACTTCACAAGGCTCGCTCAAGCGCGCACACAATGCCAAGCTTCAGGTCTGACACCAACGCAGAAGCACGCTCGAGCGCAAGAAGGCTCGCTCGAGCGAAGAAACAACTTCACAAGGCTCGCTCAAGCGCGCACACAATGCCAAGCTTCAGGTCTGACACCAACGCAGAAGCACGCTCGAGCGCAAGAAGGCTCGCTCGAGCGAAGAAACAACTTCACAAGGCTCGCTCAAGCGCGCACACAATGCCAAGCTTCAGGTCTGACACCAACGCAGAAGCACGCTCGAGCGCAAGAAGGCTCGCTCGAGCGAAGAAACAACTTCACAAGGCTCGCTCAAGCGCGCACACAATGCCAAGCTTCAGGTCTGACACCAACGCAGAAGCACGCTCGAGCGCAAGAAGGCTCGCTCGAGCGAAGAAACAACTTCACAAGGCTCGCTCAAGCGCGCACACAATGCCAAGCTTCAGGTCTGACACCAACGCAGAAGCACGCTCGAGCGCAAGAAGGCTCGCTCGAGCGAAGAAACAACTTCACAAGGCTCGCTCAAGCGCGCACACAATGCCAAGCTTCAGGTCTGACACCAACGCAGAAGCACGCTCGAGCGCAAGAAGGCTCGCTCGAGCGAAGAAACAACTTCACAAGGCTCGCTCAAGCGCGCACACAATGCCAAGCTTCAGGTCTGACACCAACGCAGAAGCACGCTCGAGCGCAAGAAGGCTCGCTCGAGCGAAGAAACAACTTCACAAGGCTCGCTCAAGCGCGCACACAATGCCAAGCTTCAGGTCTGACACCAACGCAGAAGCACGCTCGAGCGCAAGAAGGCTCGCTCGAGCGAAGAAACAACTTCACAAGGCTCGCTCAAGCGCGCACACAATGCCAAGCTTCAGGTCTGACACCAACGCAGAAGCACGCTCGAGCGCAAGAAGGCTCGCTCGAGCGAAGAAACAACTTCACAAGGCTCGCTCAAGCGCGCACACAATGCCAAGCTTCAGGTCTGACACCAACGCAGAAGCACGCTCGAGCGCAAGAAGGCTCGCTCGAGCGAAGAAACAACTTCACAAGGCTCGCTCAAGCGCGCACACAATGCCAAGCTTCAGGTCTGACACCAACGCAGAAGCACGCTCGAGCGCAAGAAGGCTCGCTCGAGCGAAGAAACAACTTCACAAGGCTCGCTCAAGCGCGCACACAATGCCAAGCTTCAGGTCTGACACCAACGCAGAAGCACGCTCGAGCGCAAGAAGGCTCGCTCGAGCGAAGAAACAACTTCACAAGGCTCGCTCAAGCGCGCACACAATGCCAAGCTTCAGGTCTGACACCAACGCAGAAGCACGCTCGAGCGCAAGAAGGCTCGCTCGAGCGAAGAAACAACTTCACAAGGCTCGCTCAAGCGCGCACACAATGCCAAGCTTCAGGTCTGACACCAACGCAGAAGCACGCTCGAGCGCAAGAAGGCTCGCTCGAGCGAAGAAACAACTTCACAAGGCTCGCTCAAGCGCGCACACAATGCCAAGCTTCAGGTCTGACACCAACGCAGAAGCACGCTCGAGCGCAAGAAGGCTCGCTCGAGCGAAGAAACAACTTCACAAGGCTCGCTCAAGCGCGCACACAATGCCAAGCTTCAGGTCTGACACCAACGCAGAAGCACGCTCGAGCGCAAGAAGGCTCGCTCGAGCGAAGAAACAACTTCACAAGGCTCGCTCAAGCGCGCACACAATGCCAAGCTTCAGGTCTGACACCAACGCAGAAGCACGCTCGAGCGCAAGAAGGCTCGCTCGAGCGAAGAAACAACTTCACAAGGCTCGCTCAAGCGCGCACACAATGCCAAGCTTCAGGTCTGACACCAACGCAGAAGCACGCTCGAGCGCAAGAAGGCTCGCTCGAGCGAAGAAACAACTTCACAAGGCTCGCTCAAGCGCGCACACAATGCCAAGCTTCAGGTCTGACACCAACGCAGAAGCACGCTCGAGCGCAAGAAGGCTCGCTCGAGCGAAGAAACAACTTCACAAGGCTCGCTCAAGCGCGCACACAATGCCAAGCTTCAGGTCTGACACCAACGCAGAAGCACGCTCGAGCGCAAGAAGGCTCGCTCGAGCGAAGAAACAACTTCACAAGGCTCGCTCAAGCGCGCACACAATGCCAAGCTTCAGGTCTGACACCAACGCAGAAGCACGCTCGAGCGCAAGAAGGCTCGCTCGAGCGAAGAAACAACTTCACAAGGCTCGCTCAAGCGCGCACACAATGCCAAGCTTCAGGTCTGACACCAACGCAGAAGCACGCTCGAGCGCAAGAAGGCTCGCTCGAGCGAAGAAACAACTTCACAAGGCTCGCTCAAGCGCGCACACAATGCCAAGCTTCAGGTCTGACACCAACGCAGAAGCACGCTCGAGCGCAAGAAGGCTCGCTCGAGCGAAGAAACAACTTCACAAGGCTCGCTCAAGCGCGCACACAATGCCAAGCTTCAGGTCTGACACCAACGCAGAAGCACGCTCGAGCGCAAGAAGGCTCGCTCGAGCGAAGAAACAACTTCACAAGGCTCGCTCAAGCGCGCACACAATGCCAAGCTTCAGGTCTG